CCCCAAAACCCCAAAACCCCTGTAGCTTAATAAATACTCATAAGTAGAAATAGTAAAAGAAATAAATAGATTTTCACTTTTATATTATAATAATTTCCATAATAGTTTGCAAAAGCCTCTTCACTTATTTTTAATGGTTAATCTACCTTATTTCCACCAATGAACTACCTTTAAAAAGAGAATAATATGCAAAATCTCTGCAGGTACCAATCCAAGACCCAAAGTAATAGGTCCAAGCATCAATCCAATCCCCATTCCAATAGTAAAGCTAATAATAAAGAATGGTATCAATAATAAAAGCAGAATAAAACTGAATACACGACCCCCTTTCTGAGTACATTTTATGCAGTGCTTAAAGCAATGAATAGGCAAGTACAATCCTCCAATTGTAAAAAGTATTATAGGACCAAAGAGCAATATAAAAGGCATAAATATCAAGAATAAAATGAAAATACATAGCTTTTATTGAAGATCGACATTTCCATTGATACTTACTTAACTGCATCTATTAAAGAACAAGATCTCTGAGTGCAAAAAATGCTTTACAGGTAATCCACAATTCCAGCAGAAATAATGTTAGCAAAGATAACAAGTCATATGATTGCAGCCATCTATCTTTTCTATAATTGTCTTACATTTGGGGCATTTCTAGGCACCTTGCTTAGTTGCCCATTCTACATAGTTAGATTTTTAAAACTAGTCACAAGTCTAATTTTCATGCCATTGAGACTAGCAATTGAAACAGATCTATTTCTCACATTTTTCACACTATATCTTGTCAGACCATGCTTTTTTGGACAAGATATTCGCACAATTAGGTGTCGGACAATATTTTTTCCCTTTATCTAATGCAATTTCTTTATCTAACTTCAATCTAAGATATTTTTCATAAAGCTATGGTTCAATATGTTGCTAAATCTGTCTATTGGTAAATTTTACTTCGCATTCACTATCAAGACATTTGATATTTGAAACTCTACCTTCAGCTCCTATCCATTAATTTAGCATTTACTCTATGCAAGTCTAGCAAAAAGTATGCCCACAGGAAAGCTCTGTAATTTAAATGTAATCAATTTCAAGATAGCATATTTAGCATATGTCCATAACTTTATTCGACGGCTCTTCCAATGAAAATTGTGATTATACTTCTAAATGATTCTTCAAATATTTTTCCCTATTTATAAGTTATACTTTTCTCACTATATCTCTAAATTTTTCTATTCCTTTTAATTTCTAACTTATCTCTGCTTTACTTTCTTCATTATCTTCATTTAAAGTTGCTTTGTCTTGATTAATTGCATTATATGAATGCTTATTTTATTTTATTTAGTCATTTAACTTATTCTATTGAACTTCAGTAAGTATGGTTTTAAGAAAGCATTCTTATATTTCAGAAGGTGAAATAAAATTGTTTGAACCTGATTTAATTTGCTATAGATCAGTAAATTCTATATCTTTATTAATATGATTTCCATCTTTTTTATCGATATCTATTTCGCCATAAATTTCCTTTAAACAATCCTTATTTTTTTGTTTCAGAGACATATTAAACTTTCTTTCAGCTCTTTAAGTCTGAACTCTATAGAAATTAGGTAATATCTAGATTTAGTCATTAACATGAGCCTCCTCTTCGACCTCCCCACTTTTTTCTAAGCTCCAAGAATCAGAGTTTGATTTGTTTTCTTTTTTGTAGTGTTAATTCTTCTCCAAGTCATCGATATCATGTTTATAATCATTACTTCTCATTTAGCAATTACTATCCCGACAAATCTTGCTTTTATAAATAATTATTAAAATAAGTTTCTTTATTCTGATAAAATTAAACTAACTATTCATTCTATAGCAAGCTAATTATCCATTTCTCTTTTTGCAATACTTCAATATAAAGGGGTTTTGGGGTTTTGGGG